TATATATATATATAATGATGGGGGCTCCTATAGGCTAAAAGGTAAATGGAGGTTATATATAAGACAAATCGCAAGCGGTTGTCATCAGCTCGTGCTGTAAGGTGTTGGGTTAAGTCCCACAACGAGCGCAACCCGTTAAGGTATACTTGGAACTTTTCCCTATGTTCATATAATCCACCTCTATTCTCCTCACACTTACAAAAAAGAAAAGAAGAAAACAAGACAGAATTGTTTACCTGCCCATATATAGCCTTTCCCCAAAGACAAAGTATGCTAGAATTGCCACTAATATTGTTGATAGTGGATTGAACATAGTTACAAAAACAGGTCCTTTTTGCTCATTGCACCAAAGTTGAATAAACACCACTAAACCAGAGATCACTATACCCTGTTTTAAATTAAAAACAACACATTAAAGTTTGTCACATCCAAATTAAGTTTCAACAACAACAACAAAAGAATGGCAGCCGTTGTACTAAGTTTCCGTTATGTGTGGAGTCCGGGGAAGAGCCGGACCACAAGGGTCTATTATACGCAGTCTCACAAGTGAGGTCTGGGGAAGATAGTGTGTATGCAGACTTTACCCCTACCCCGAGGGAGTAGAGAGGCTATTTTCGGTAGACCCTCTGCTCACAAAGACGAAAAGAGAGACAATTTATTAGTACTATCAACAGAAAACAATAGAAATAATGACAGTAACATTAGAACCAGAAAATAGGCGAAAAATAATAATAATAATAATAATAATAATAATAATAATAATAATAATAATAATAATAATAATAATAATAATACCCAGTAAGTAAGGCCCGGCACAATAAATCCAAATTAAGTTTCATTAGAGAAATAATTGGACTCTTCTTACCCCATATATTGTAGACCAAAAATCAATGTTGAAACCAATGGTCCAAGCAGCTCTTTTATGTTGTACAATGACAGTGTAAAAAGCTGATTGTGCTGCTCCAACAAAACTCATCCATGTAGTCAATGACAATTGTGCTGGATATCTTTTTAGTGTGTAAGCCTGTAAATTTTTTTGGTAAACTAGTAAGAAAAGAGAATTCAACTTAATTTCAAGCTGTAACAAGTTTGTCATGACCCAAAATTAGACGGCTGTGACCGACATTCGCTGTGATAGGCATCCGACAGCCAGAGGTGGATGCAGTGCAGCAGCACCAATTCATTTGAATCTAGTACTTTCAATGGTGAAATATAAAGTTATGTGTATAAATCTCCTAAAATTGCAAACATATATTATATCTGAACTCATCTTATAAAAATATAATAGATTCAACGCTAAGAACCTTAAATATTTAACCCATTAAGCTTAAATTTTGGATCCGCATCTGATAACGACTTAAAGCTCGCTAAGTGAACCTTTAACGCCGAGCATAATAGAAAAAAAAACACATAATCAAGATCCAAGCGTCTCTGTATTGTTAAACACATGCAAAATGGGGTGTCGGGAAGCCCCTATATAGGAGCGGAGCCAGGAGTTCAGACAAGGGGATTCAAAATAATGCCCTAGTCGAGATTTGAATTGTTATTTAAAGCAACTTTTGAACCCCCTTTACCTTTATACTATAAAATTTTCCTATGTCAAGGAGATTCAACAGTTTATGCGTAATCGAAAAGTTCCACTTTTTTAACCCTATTTACACAGTATAATTTTTCGATGAAAAAGATTAAATTGAACCCCTTCCCTCTTGCTAACTCCGCCCTTGCTCCTGTACCATCATCATACAACAGTTTACAGTGCAAAACTGGTTTCGAAATAGATAGGGTAAAAGCTTCATTTATCTTATTTGTACAGTATAATCTTTCGACGAACGGAATTAACAGATACGAATTTCATAGAAGGACCTGCATGATGTACCATATGGACCATGTAATGCAGCTAGCAACTGTCAAAATGGACCCTTTCAGCCAATTTTCATGCACAAAACTGCTTCCTCTTTGAATATAGATGAGAGGTTGCCATAGGTTTTTCAGACAAGCTCCTTTGTACAATGTCATTGTCATTACACCAGCCAATGAAACCAGTGTTCCTAAGATTTTTGCTATTCCCCTAGGATCTCCAACATTTACAACTTCCAACCTAGTACAACAAAAAAAATTAATTAGAGTTTAAATTCTATGCACTGTCAGTGTAAAGGATATTTACACTACCAGGTCACTAAATAAGTAATAACATATAACATCGATTAAATAGGGAAACCCGGTGCACTAAGCTCCTGCTATGCACGGGGTCTGGGGAAGGTCCGGACCACAAGTGTCTGTTGTACGCAGTCTTCCCCTGCATTTCTTCAAAAGACAGTTTCCACGGCTGAATAGGTAATAGCAGGTAACGTCGATCAGTAAACAAAATAAATGTTAAGTGACATGTTATAGCATGTCAAAATCACACTGATGGTGTAAAGATTTTTACACTGTCAGCAGTGGCGGAGCTACATAGCTCCAAAGGGTGTCAATTAACACTCCTTCGCCGGAAAAAAATACAACGTTTAGGCAAGTAAAAGTTGTTCTTCTATGTATATATTCTATATATTTTATCCCCTTGACTTCTTCATGTAATTATTTCTTTAAATTTTGACACGCCTTAGTGAAAATCCTGATTATACTGACTGGCGGTACATAGAACTCAAATCCTTTTAATTGATGAGTTTAAGTAAATACTACTACATAGTTAGATTTTAGTTTCATAAACTACTAATGTCTACGTTCTTTTCTTGAAATTATTGAGATTTAATTACCTGAATATTACTGCTAATACAAAGGTCAATGCAGCAATAGTGTTGACCATAGAAGATACAAAAGTTGGAGAAGTGAAATTCAAGCTCACAAAGTACATATTCAACGTCAAACTCACTCTGACATGAAAAACAAACTGTTAGTAAAAAAAAAAATTCTCCTCAAAACTATATTTTAAAAGGATGATATGATGTTCAACTGAGCTTACCCCATAAGAGAAAGTACAAAGATTTCCAATAGCAAAGCCAAAGTCAACTTTGGTCTTGTTTGTCTGTAGAAAAGAAACAGAATTCTTTACATATTAATCGCATACTCGGCACGAAATTTAAGAAAGAAATGAAGACTTTTGAAAGTTGGAGTATTGAATATGTCATGACGTTTGTATGATTGTAAGCCTTTTTGAACTTATATGATATTGAATATGCCATAAAATTTGTATGGCTATAAAAGATAGTAAGTTTGAGTTAAATTATTTTCAGATTAAAAATAAAAAAATAGTGTCATATGAAATGGAATAGAGGAGCTAATAGCTTGAAACATTTCATAGCAGTTTCCCCTCCCTCCCTAAAAAGGATTAACTATTATGCACTGATTTTACACTATCAGGTCACTTGAAAGATAAATACATATAACTATTCCATAAGAAATGGAACTGGCCATCGGAAAAAATAAAGCAGATAGCCTACTATAACAATTGAATTATACTAAGTTATTATGAAAGTTGTCTCCATGTGACTAATAGGTTTTGAGCCGTGGAAGCAGCCGATAATGCTTGCATTAGGGTAGGTTGTCTATATCACACCCCTTGGGATGCGGATTTTGCCAGACCCTGCGTGAACGTGAGATACTTTGTGTACCGAGTTAGCTTTATTTTAGTGCATGTATTTGGATTAGAGAAAAGTGATATATACGTACCTTTCGAGAAAATAGGCAAATGGTAACATAACTAAACCACCAACAATATGCCGATAAGTAACGTAGACATGAGGATTCATCCCATGATTGAAGGAAGCTTCAGTTATGAAGTATAGAAAAGTATAGCAAATCTGAGCTAAAATCATAAGAAAATGAGGTTTGAACTTCTTGAAAATGCCCATAATAGCCATCTTCTAGTAATTGACAAATTACTAATACAATAAGATCAAGAATTTAAATACAAGAAAATATAGCCAATTTGTAAGAATGGGATCTTGTTCTTGATCAACATATTCTTGTGATAATCTGACACAATTCTCCAATATGAGGATAGAATATAGTAATATGTTTCTTGTTTTTTTCTTTCTAAAGAAAAGCAAAAACTTTGAGGGGAGATTTAAAGAATGGAGAAAATAAAATATTCTAGTGGTGAATTATTCTTGAATATTTAATTATAAAAGGCATAAAAAGTCATTCAACAAACATTCTACCACCTGAAAAAACAAAAGGGAGTGCAAGATTATTGAATTATAGATGATATGTGTAGTCCACTAAAGAATTTGGAAGAAAACATTTTTGAAAGAATAAAAAGAAGACGAATTTTGTAGCTTATATGTGTGGTAGTCATTCCTCCTTTATATAAGGAGTATTGTCCTTAATTTATGTTTAGTTGGGAGCTACAGTATTAGTTACGGGTTCAGATAAATCTTGTAACTTTTACTTAGGCATTATATTTGTATTAGAAAATTCGTTAAATATGTAAAAATATTTAACATTGTGAATCCATTAACTATAACGGACTAAGAATTAGATGGCAAATTCAAAACTTATAAATTTTAAATTCTGGTTCCATCTTTGCTCATTTAAGAGTTAGGGAGTGTTGGAAGAGAATTGTGAAAAACAAGTGTTCTCAAAGAGCAATTTGTATAAAACTATTTTGTAAGGGGTCGTTTGGTAGGAGGTATTAGAAAATATAATGCAAGCATTAGCTCTATGCATTACTAATACCTTGTTTGGTATATTTTTTTAATTTGTGTATAACTAATACTTGGTATTATCCTATGTATAAGTAATGCATAGAAAACCATGGCATAGTAATACTAAGGCTATTAATGCATGCATTAATATGGTTAAAGACACAATTGTCCTTAAAGTCCCTTAAAGCTAGAGAATATGGAGGGCATTTTTGTAAACAGCTATTTTCTTAAAATTATGCAATGCATTATATAATTTTAATACACCACACCAAACAGTAGATAAGAAATAATATCTGCATAACTAATGCTTGCATTACTAATACACCTTATTTCGTACTATTTTTATACACCCTACCTAACGACCCCTAAGTGTAATGAAAGTTGGAAAAAAAGGATTAGTTACCTCATATAGCAAAGGTTGATACCTTATTTATTTTAAATAAATACCATTTTAAAAAATTATATTCCATAGCTACCTTTTGATTTTTTATAGCCAAATATCTATTTATGGTTACCTCATACCCTTAAACCATAAAATAAGCTTTGTATCATTTTTCTCTCTTATATCTCCTCAAATTTCTCCTATCCCCTACCCCATATCTATTCTCCCTCTCTCTCTCTTTCTCTACTTCCCGATGTCTTCTCCTCCACCGGACGCTAGAACAATTGCCACCGTCACCCTTCCGACCGTGGCCGTTATTCATTGATACCGCCGCCCTCAGCCTCCCAATCTCATTCACAGTCGAATTTCAATCTCGCTGGAGAAGGAGAAGAAGTCGTGAAATTTCTCTCTCAGGTCTAATGTTCTTATTTGCTAAAATAGTACACAAAGTCGACACAACCAAACAAAAGACAGTGAAATTGTCGCCATTTACAAACAATTGCTCTTGAAAAAGCAATGGAAGAAGGAAAGATTTTGACAGATGTTTTCCCGCTGTAATGGAACTTGTATTTTCAGTTAATATGTATCAATGTATTTTCAATGGATCTCGCTGTATTTCATTGTATTCATTGTCTTTTTATTTCATTGTATTTCAATGTATCTTGTTATATTCTATGTATTTCATTGTATTCACTATCTTTTTTTCATTGTATTTCAATATATCCCGTTGTATTCTATGTATTTTATTGTATGCACTGTCTCGCTATATTCCTTGAATGTATTAATATATTTTTTTTAATTAATATAATTTATGTATTCAGATGTATTATATAATTTCTCTGAAGATTGCTATATTTTTGGGGTATTTTTCGGTTGAGAATCTTTTTTATAACTGGAAATACAAAATTTGTGTGTTATAATTGAGTTTGTTGAGTTATATTAGGAGTCTATTATATTAATTGATTCACTTTTCGTTTAAAAACAGTGTAATCCCATATTTCACGTCGTGATACAGTCGAATACAATAATTTGTCCAGCTGTAATCTCATGTTTCACGCCATGAATACAGTCGAATACACTCGAATACAAAAATTTGTCTAGCTGTAATCTCTTGTTTCACGCCTAGAAATGCTACTATATTCATGAATACAGTAGCTTAAATACATCGAATACACTCTAAAAATCTGAAAATATAGCTATAGGAAGTAATATAGTAAATGGTAGCTACAACTAGTTAATAACCACTACAACATAGTGGTTTATGAAAGTTTCTCGGAAAAAAAGTGTAATTGTTAAGTTATTCTCGACATATTTTTGGGATCCACTCCTTTAATTTTGAGTCGTCTTTATAATCCCGCCATATTCGAATGAAATTCAAAATAACCAGATTTATGAGTGGTAATTGAAAAATAGCCATAGTTTCAAAAGTAATCGAAATTTAGCTATTTTTCATGTAAAGATAAATCTGAACGACAGTTCAAAATCCGAATATATTCAAGCATAATATATTGAAATTCCAGCATAATACGCTGGAGTTCCAGCATAATACACTGGTCCAGCATAATATGCTGGAAGTTCATACACAGGTGCTCCAATCTCCAGTATATTATGCTGAAACTTTCCGTGTGTTGGAATTCCAACATAACATGCTGAAAGTTCATACACAGGTACATCAATCTCCAGTATATTATACTGGAACTTTTCGTGTTGCAAGAAAATAGAGGTTATTTTTCAATGACTTTGCGAATTCGACTATTTTTCAATTACCCATCTGAAAACTATGCTTTTGGCTATTAGAATCCCACTATTAGTGTTAAAAAATTTGTGCTTTTGGTGTGTGTATATAGTTAGAATCCCACTGATAGCTTATCCTTTCCTGAAGTTTTATCCTAACTTTGGCGAATTATTGTATGAAATCTTCTTTTTACAAAGAAATATTTTTTTAAATTTTATTTCCCATTTTAGAAAGAAGCATAATTAATTATGCAGTGCTTCAAATTAGCTCAATAACTAGTAATCAGTTTCCATCGGTACCTGTTGAAAAAAAAATGTAATACGATATATTACGAAAAATTCCATCATTCTTTCAACACGAAACTAATTGGTAAAGAGAGATGGCAACTAACGAAACAAAATTCTATAGCAAGAAGCAAACAACTAACTAAACAACATGCAATTGTAGCCTTTTGTTTGCCAATTTACCACGAAAGATGCAACGTTATATGAGTGACCAATACTATCAGGGGCGGATTTAGGGGGCGCAAGGGGTTCACTCGAACCCCCTTCGCCGAAAAAATACACTGTATATATAAGGCAAAATCTGTTTTTTACCTCTATATATTAAGTTTTGAACCCCCTTAACACAATCCAAAAGTATAGTTTAGTGGTCAAGGGGGTTCAAAATCTACATAAGGTCATGAGTTCAATTCCCACTAGATACAAAAAAAAAAAAAAAAATTGAACCCCCTTCGTGGAGATCCTGCCTCCGCCACTGAATACTATAGATTGATTAATACACAACTTGCCTCTACGATGAAAGAAGGAATTGCTCTAACTAATCGCCCACTCAACTGCTTAAATATAATCGGTAGACATCAAAATTTTATCGGATCAAATCCATCTGATATTTAGGTTATGTCCTAAATTTAAGATACTACAAGTAGAATCTGTTAAGTTTCTTGGAGGCTACTCTACTAAAAAACCTAGTTACACCTATAAAAGGGGTCACATATTCCCTTTGAAAGCATCTCAAAATTTCATAAAATTTCATGGTATATTCACAAAGAGATCAAAAACATCAAATATTATCTTTCTCAAAACCGCCAAGTGATCAACGGATGTTCTTCCTTTCATGGAGATCAAATACATCCCAAGAAAGCTCGCATCATCCTACGTTCGAGAAATACACTGGTTAAGCCCTCGAATCACGGAAAACAACTAGAGAGAAGAATTAAGGGAACAAGCAGAATTGTACTCACAAAGACTCATCAATAAAATTATTCATCTTTTATGTTTGTAATTATAATTTTTCACGTATGTTGAAATTTTTTTGCAAACAGTATAGGATACATATAATCCATCTATAATATATATAGTCAGTGTGTAATTTATGTACGTCAAGTAGGAAAAATAAATCGAAAATCTGACCAACTATTTGTGTAAATATTCATATTCCATTACGAAAGCACATATTCTCTACATTTTTTTTAGAATGCCGGAATAACTATAACTACAACATGCATGATTAACAAAAGCTGAAAATTCGTTTAGTTGATTCTATATATGTGCGCTAGAAAAAGTATATGCTGCTGTTGCCAGCATCAGAAAATATCATAGATGCCGATTCTTTAAATTTATTCAAAAATCAAAATATATAAAGTCCAAAAGCTAAATATAATGTGATCAAGTAAAAATAGCACGGTATAGTCAATTTTCGGACTGATCATTCAAAAATAGCCAGCGTTTACAAAGTCAATGAAAAATAGCCACTATTTTGCTGCAACAGAGACCGGTCCAGCATAATATTCTGGAATTCGGTGCACTTGTGTATGAACTCCAGCATATTATGCTGGACCGGTATACTTTGCTGACTAAGTATAATATACTAGAGACTGGAGCACCGGTGCTCCAAACTCCAGTATATTATACTGGACAATTATACTTGCTGGAACTCCAGTATATTATGCTGGAATTCTAGTGTACTTATGCTAGAACTTCATCATATTATGCTGGAGATCCAGCATACTTATCCTGGAACTCCAGTATAATATACTGGCGTATTTTCCAAGTTTTGAACAGTATTTTTGCTCATATTTATCTTTACATAAAAAGTAACTAAATTTCGATTACTTTTGAAACTGGGCTATTTGTGAACGGTCAGTTGTAAATCTGGCTATTTTTGAATTTCTCCCTTTGATCAACTACCTTTTGCTACTGCTCCCTTGATGAATGACCAAGAGAATAATGTGAAATACAAAGAATTTAAGATAAGGTGCTAGAAAATATAAAACGATAACATCATTTTAACTTCAAAAAACTTAGCCCCAGATGCTAAAAATTCAAGAATTTATGGGAATTGCATATGGGGTGGAAAAAGAATGATGGCCGAGTTAGAATTGAGAAGATGCAAAGGAGAGAATTTCCTAAATTTTGTATTAAAAACATCAATGTTATTTATTACGTATTATTTTTCCTAATTGGGAAAGGAAAAG